GGCTCCATCTCAAAAAAAAAAAAAAAAAAACTTTATTTACAAAAGCAGTCACCTGTATTAGCAACAGACTGGTTACTGCAGAAGAGAGAGCTAGTGAACTAGGACTATAGATCAGAAGAAATCATGCAGAATATAGCACACAAAGAAAAAATACAGAAGGGTGTGGGACATTGTAAGGATTCAGTGAGAAGGTCTAGCACTGGGTGTACAGGAGGAAGAGAGAGAAAGACAGACAGAGAGACTATATAGTAGAAGTGATATTTAAAGAGATGATGTCTGAGTATGTTCCAAAACTAATGAAAGATGCAAATCCACAGATCCAAGAGTCCACATGAATAAATAAAAAGGAAGAATAAATAAAAAGAAGTCCACAGCTCAACATCATAGTGAAACTAGGATAAAAAAGAATTCCTCAAAACAGACATAGAAAAAGAAATAGATTGCCTTCCAAAGAAGCTGAAATATTTTTTAAAAAAAATATAAATGGGGTCTTGTTGCTTGGGCTAGAGTACAGTGGCTATTCACAGGTGCAACCATAGTGTGCTACAGCTTTGTACTCCTGGGCTCAAGCCCTGCCTCAGCCTCCTAAGTAGCTAGGACTACAGGCACATATGACTACCACAACTGGCTCAGTAGTCAAATTTCGAACTGCAACAGTAAAAGCTTGAAGAATTTGGACTCTGCCCAATATTTTATTTTTTAAAAAGTACACACCTATACTCTGCAAAAATATCTTTTCAGAATGTGGATGAAAGACATTTTTAGGCAAACAGAATGAAATGAGTTTGTCAAGAGCTTTGAAGAGCTAAACTTTAGGCTCGGTGCCTAGAGCACAGTGGTTATGGTGGCAGCCACATACACCAAGGATGGCAGGTTTGAACCTGGCCCAAGCCAGGTAAACAATGACAACTGCAATAAAAAATAGCGGGGCATTGTGGCGGGCACCTGTAGTCCCAGCTACTTGGGAAGCTGAGGCAAGAGAATCGCTTAAGCCCAAGAGCCCAAGAGTTTGAGGTTGCTGTGAGATGTGATGCCACAGCACTCTACCAATGGCAACATAGTGAGACTCTGTCTCCAAAAAGAAAAAAAAGAGTTAAACTTCAAGAGGAAGAGAAGTGATCTAATGTAGTAGGTCTGAGATGCAAAGAGGAAGAGAGCAGCCAAGAGGGAACTAAATATGAGGACAAGGGTAAACTAACATTTAGTGATAGAAAATCAAAATGATATAAAATCACAGTAAGAGTAATGTCTAGTGAAGACTTTTAAAATTAGGGTTAAGGCCAGGCACAATGGCTCACACCTGTAATCCTAACACTCTGGGAGGGGGAGGGGGGTAGATTGCTTGAGCTCAGAAATTTGAGATCAGCTTGAGCAAGAGCGAGACCCTGTCTCTAAAATTAGCCAGGGTTGGGCAGCCGAGCCCTGTGGCTCAGTGGGTAGGGTGCCAGCCCCATATACCGAGGGTGGTGGGTTCAAACCCAGCCCCGGCCAAACTGCAACAAAAAATTAGCCAGGCATTGTGGTGTGTGCCTGTAGTCCTAGCTACTCGGGAGGCTGAGGCAAGAAAATCGCCTAAGCCCAGGAGTTGGAGGTTGCTATGAGCTATGATACCCCAATACTCTACCCATGCCGATAAAGTGAGACTCTGTCTCTACAAAAAAAGAATAAATAAATAAATAATAAAACTAGCCAGGTGTTGTGGCAGGTGCCTGTAGTCCCAGCTACTGTAGAGGCTGAGCTAAGAGGATTGCTCAAGCCCAAGAGTTTGAGGTTGCTGTGAGCTATGATGATGCCGTGGCACCCTACCTAGGGCAACAGGGTAAGACTCTGTTTCAAAAGAAAAAAAAAACTAGTTTTAAAATACAGGGAACCAAAACATCAGTCAAGCGAGGAATAAATAAAGAAAGGGACCTTTCTTGTCCAGGAAGAGGGTGAAATGTTTATTAACTTTAACATTTACGTCACCTATCAATGTTTTAATTCATAGAGTAACCACTAAACGATTAGGGAATGCACAAAATAGTGGGAAAAAATTGAAAAATAATTAAACAGTATTTATGTAAAATAAAGGAGGTATAAAATTAAACCAAAGAATAGGTTAGATAGCACAACATAAGATGGTAGATTTAGACCCAAATATGTCGAGAATCATATTAAACAAAAACGGACAGATAAAAACTTAAACGACAACATACATCCAACCACTTTCCCCAAAGCCAACCACCCTCCCATGCAGTGGACAAAAGGTAGCCTTTCCCTGATGACTTCACCTGCCCATTGTGACCTCTGTAACTGCTCTTTGACATCACACAGTATACCACTCAGGGGCATGGGGCCAATGCACATCTTTACCTTCCTGCATGGCTGCTGTGTTCTTTTGGCTCTCGTATCTGACTCACGTGCCATTTGTTAATCCTGTGCTCTGTGTAGCTGTTTTGGACAGATCCTCTTTCCTCTTCTAATCCCCTGCTCTGTGGCCCCAAGGAATAGGAACTTCAAGAGAAGATCTTCACCTACAGTCTCAGGGGCCAAAGCTGGGCCGAGAAAAGCCCCCTTACGAAAGAGCTTTTCCACAAGTTGAGTTTTGTTTAGCCTGTGGGCAGGGAGACACTCTGCCTCAACAATTTCTCATGGAGCCAGAAGCCTTAGAAATTTGCCCTTACAATCCTCACCATCGAATCCCACTCAGCAGGTTCCAGTACCACCTGGCCTCCTGCAGGAGAAAGAACCCCAAGAAAGCCAAAAAGATGGCCAGCTGCAAATACAACGCCTGCCACGTGGTCCCCATCAAAGAATTGGAGGAACATGAGGCTGCTTGTGTCAACAGAAGCTCTGTGGAAGAAGAGGACAGCTTCAGCTCTCTGAAAGTTGGTCTTCCAAGTTCAGAGCAGAAGGACAACTCCCTGAACACCTCCCCCTGGCTTCCCAACCCTGATGTCTGGAATGTGGATGGCGCTAATTGCCACCCTATGTTTGTCCTTAAGACTTTTGTTCCCCAAAAGCTTGTTTGTGAGAGTGACACAAGAGAGTCAGAGAGAGAGGTGACTGCCCTCCAGAAGATCCTCAGACCGGGAGAGTAAACTGCCAGATGCAGGAAAGAGCAGTCACATCTTGCTGCCTGTAAGGATATGCAAAGCATTGGAATAAAAGACATGCAAAGTAAACTACACGGGGATGTCCTTTTTTCCCCCACCTCATCTTTTACTAACAGATTGGTAAATATCCAAAGGCTTAAAATACTCTGTTGGCAAAGCTAGGGTGAAACAGGCACTCTCATAACATTGATGAGAATGTAAATTGGTACAACCTCCACGGAAGGCAATTTGAAAATAGCTACAAAAATTGTCAATGTGCATAGGCTTTGAGGGAGTAATCCCACTTCCAGGATTTCATTCTGTAAAAATATTTACACATGAGCCAGGCGAGGTGGCTCATGCCTGTAATCCCAGCACTCTGGGAGGCCAAGACAGGTGGATTGCCTGAGCTCATGAGTTCAAGACCAACCTGAGCCAGAGCGAGACTGGCTCTAAATTATGTTTTAGTCTCTAAAAAAATAGTCAGGCATCATGGTGGGCACCTATAGTCCCAGCTACTCTGGAGGCTGAGGCAAGAAAATCACCTCAGCCCAAGAGTTGGAGTTTCTGTGAATTGTGACGCCACGGCACTCTACCGAGGGTGACAAAGTGAGACTCTGCCTCTTAAAAAAAAAACCCCAAAAACACTACCTACAGAAACAGGGCTGGATTTGGCCGGCAAACCATAGTTTGCCAACCTGTGGTTTAATGTATAAAAGCCAAGGCCAGAAAAATCCATAGGCAGTTCCAGGGTTGTGAATGAGACAGGCTCTGTAGGTTTGTTCTCAGGAGGACTTTGTGTGTAAGTTGGAACACGTACATTTACCTATTACCTGTAACAGCCTCCATTCATAAGTGCAAGTTAGATGTTTATAACTCAGGGACTACCTGTGTAAAGTATGCCATTTTTGCAGAGTTGTGGGAGAAGACAAGAATACATATGTGCTTGTTTTTGCATATAATTTCTCTTCAGGGATACTCCCAAACAGGGGTCTGCCCACAAAGCCTAAAACATTTACCCTCTGACCCCTTACACAAAAAGTTTGCTGACCACTAGGAACTAATATTGGCAGCCTGTCAGGTAACTGCAGGACAGGGAAGAGAGGTCCTTTCCTTACTATACATCCCTTAATGTCTTTGTTTTTGAGACAAGTCTCACTCTGTTGCCCTGGGTAGAGTGCCATGATGTCATAGCTCACAGCAACCTCAACCTCTTGGGCCCAAGCAATCTTCTTGCCTCAGCCTCTGGAGTAGCTGGGACTACAAGTGTGCATGATCACTCCTGGCTAGTTTTTCTATTTTCAGTAGAGACAGCATCTTGCTCTTGCTCAAGCTGGTCTCAAACTCCTGAGCACAAGCGATCCTCCTACCTCAGCCTCCTAGAAGTGCTAGGATTACAGGTAGAGTCACTGCACCTGCCCAGCCCTTTAATATCTGTCACATGGGCTCGGTGCCTCTGGCTCAAGTGGCTAAAGCGCCAGCCACATACACCTAAGGTGACGGGTTCGAATTCAGCCCAGGCCCGCCAACCAACAATGACGGTTGCAACCAAAAACAAACAAAAAAAAATTGCCGGGCGTTGTGGCCGACGCCTGTGGTCCTAGCTACTTGGGAGGCTGAGGCAGGAGAATCGCTCGAGCCCAGGAGTTGGAGGTTGCTGTGAGCTGTGATGCTACAGCACTCTACCCATGGGGATAGCTTGAGGCTTTGTCTCAAAAAAAATATATACATCTATCACATGTGAACACACATGAATGTGTTATCTGGTCAAAAAAAATACATTACATATATATATATATATATTTTTTTTTTTTTTTTTTTTTAAACAGCAGGTAGAAGACTTAAGTCTTTAGAAAGTTTTTCAAGAGGAAATCTTTTTTTTTTTTTTTTGAGACAGAGTCTCAAGCTATCGCCATGGGGTAGGTAGAGTGCCATGGCATCACAGCTCACAGCAATCTCCAACTCTTAGGCTTAAGCGATGCTCTTGCCTCAGCCTCCCAAGTAGCTGGGACTACAGGCACCCACCACAACCGTGGCTATTTTTTTGTTACAGTTTGGCTGGGGCTGGATCTGCCACCCTCGGTATATGGGGCTAGCACCCTACTCACTGAGCCACAGGCACCTCCCAAGAAAAAGTTTTAAAAACATATACAAGGACTATCTGGAAAGTCTCCACTCATGTATTATGGAGAAAAGTATTAACGATGGCTAGAGCCCTGGATACTTTCCAGATAGCCCTCGGTATACACTAAATCAATGTGGTATCCTGGATCAGATCCTAGAACAGAAAAAGAACCCATGGAAAAACTGGAGAAACTCTTAAAGTCCAGAGTTCAGTTAATAGTATTGTACCAATGTAAACTTGTCAGTTTCATTAAATGCACCATATTTTTGTCAGATGTCAACATCAGGGGAAGCCGGGTAAAGGGCATCTGGTAACTCTTTATACTATTATATTTTTGCAAGTTTTCTGTACATCTAAAATGATTTCAAAATAAACTGAGCAAGAAGCAACATGATGGGCCCAAGAATGGCCTCACGAGCCATACCATCTGGGGCTCAATGTCAGCTCCGCCACTCACTGGTTGCCAGACGTTCAGAAGTATACTTAACCCTCTCTGGGATTGCCTTTATCCCCAAGTAGGGATGATCAATTTGTATGATTGTGTGGAGGATTTAGTGATTTAACACATGTAAGATTAGGGCAGTGTCTAATACACAGGAAGCCTTCAATTAATGCTAATTACTAGTTGTAATGATGGTATTATCCAGCATTTAATACATAAACCAAAGAACCCCACAGTGAACAGAGCTCACTGGGAGGGTGTGTTAAGCTCACAGCTGCCCTGTTCTCTAGACCCTCCTACCTCCAGGACAGGGAAGAGCTTCAGCACAGCTCAGGAGAATCAATTCTCTGGCAGGAGAGGGTATGGGGTAAAACTCCTGCAGTTCAAAGTATGGCTGCACACTCCCTTCATGTGAATTACCCACCAATAGTAAATATTCCCCTTCCAGGCCACACTTGATGCCTGACTCTCAGGTCAGCTGGAGGCCCAGGTATCTGCATCTTTAGCCAGTGCCAGGTGATCCCATAGTATGCTAGGGCTGCCTCTGAATCTGAGGAAGGTGTTCCCCAGACAGTCTTGGTGTGGGCCCCAGGAAAGGGCGGCAATCCGGTCCTCATCCTCACCCTAGGCAGAGGCTACCCAATACTGACAGACCTATGGGCAGGAGGCTGTGGCCTGCAGGAAACAGCCAGTGACAGAGCCTGGAGAAGCTGGAGAAAGGGGCCATGTGGGCTGTGGGAGTCAGGCCAGAACAGGACCCTGGTAGGCTCTATGGGGGCATGACTAGTGTGGCTGGCCAGGGATCCCAGCTGCGAGCTCAGCAGGGACGCAGGTGAGGCCAGTCAGATGTGAGATCTGGCCCCCTAACTCACAGTCCTCATCTCCTGCCCCTGGAGGGAGGACCTGGCAAATCTTCCTGTGAGTGAGGCTCTGAAGCCAAGTCCAGCTAGGGCCTGTCCTAGGCCCACTCAACGTCAGTCCCCAGGGATGGCCATACCCCAACCTGTGAACCCTGCTGCTGAAAATGTCACTTCCTGCCCTAGGTCTTTAATCACCAGGGACTCCTCCCAAATACTTGGTGAGTATCAGGCTCTGCCCACTAGGCCTTGACTCAGGCAGGCAACAGTCCAGGCTGCAACTGCTGCCACAACCTAGGGATTTGGGGCCACTAGGGAGAAGGGTCTGGCAGTACGCAGCCTGCAACTCAGCAGCTAGGTTTTGCCCAACTACCTGCCACTCCTTGTTTACTGCTGGACCCTGGGGTTGGGTTCAGCTTAAGGTAGGACGTCACTGGCAACCAGGAGAGCCAACCATGGCAAGGACCGAGCAAGGGCCTACTGTTTTGTGCCACTGACCCCCTTTGCACGTCTTTGTCCACCCACCCCTACCCCCACTCCATGATTGAGAGTCCCGAGTTTTGCACGTGCCCACTGGGTGCAGAGGCCAAAAAAAAAACTGCTCCCAGCTCACTAGGGAAAGAAGGTCCAGAGCCCCCAGGCTTAGGCTATGCAGACAGGACTGCACTCAGGATGAGAGCTCAGGTCCCCATGTTCCAGAGGGACCCGAGGATAATCACCAGGGAACCATGAGCAGAACCCAAGAGGGAGGCAGAGCCCAGAGCAGCATGGGGAGAAGGCTAATTTTATTCGAGAAAATGCACCAACAGCGGGTGAGGTAAGGAGCAGTTTGGACTGCGTCCCGTCCTAAGTGGGGTCTGAGATGAGCCCAGGACTGACCCAGGCATGAGAGGAGCTACCTCTGGGCTCCCTGTGACATGGGGCAGGGAGCCGGGTAGGCCTAGGAGTCAGGCCTTGCTCTGTTAGCACCAGGAACCACCCACAGCTGGACCCAGCCATGGGACAGTGTGTGGCCTTCCTGCCTCCACCTGAGCAGTCTGGGAGGGGCTGGCAGCAGAAGGCTCCCTATAGGTGGGCGGTCACCTGAGTGTGAGTCTCAAATTCACAGACTCCCTCTGCCCCACAGCCCCTGTAAACATGAGAATGAGCCGGTGACCGCCCAGCCCCTCAGGACAAGATGAGGGTCCGAGAGGTGTGGCTGGGCTTCAAGCGGCCCAGGAGCTGCCGGGCTTTCTCCTGCATGAAGAGTTGGTCCCTGGTCCCCCCGCAGGCCACTGTCTTCCAGGCTCTGGTCATCTGGTAGGAGGCAAGAAGGTTACCATTCAGGCAGGGACAACCCAGGTGATTCCAGTGGAGAGGAGGGAGCCCCCTCCCTCCAGAAGCCAGAAAGTATTCTGTCTCTACCTTCCTGGGTGGTCCTGGGGAAGTGACTCCTGGCTGTGGGCTTCCCCACTATAAAGTGGGAAGCTGTACAAGGGGACATGGCCATGTCCGCAGTGCAGCACCAGCCTCATGAGGAGAAGCCAAAGGGACTCAAGCAGCCCAGGCCAGATACTGCCCTCAAGGACAGACGTATACAAAG